GCCTATCGGAAAAGTGGCGACAGACCGGAACGAACCAACTTGGGTAAAACACTCCTTTGGGTGCATGAAGCTGTATTAGGCACCGTACCTTACTTCGTCGTGCAACTTCCTAGTGCTGCTTGGGGACTCACGATCCATCGGGAATTTACATGCGGTCGAGAACCATTGGGCGGGACAAAGTGAATAATCAATGTGCACAAAATTATGTTAAGCAGACTATGACTTGCATTATCCGTCGTAAGTCAGCGCGTGTTCTGTAATGGAAAATGAGATGTAGAGATGTGTAGTTGGAGGAAGATGCGTGTGAGAAATATGGAAATATATTACTACCATACAGATACGTAACGTCATACGCTTGGATTTCGAACAATGAAGTTAATCCAATCAAAAGTGTTCTACGGTTGGACATAGCAAGATAATGTTCACTATGAAATAATACCGTTGAATTACAAAGGCGTGTAATCTACCTTTACCTCTTATTCTGTCTCAGCTTTCATTTATTTAATTGGATAACCGTAACAATGAAAGACTATTTGTCGTTCCTAAATGAAAAAAATATTAATTATGCAAATCCCTTTGCTAATGAAATATTATATTCATTGTGACGCTCTGATGATAACTATGTATTTCTATTTATATTCATGTCGCATACATTTATAATGTTGCAACTGATGCATATATAAATTTTTGCGCAATCCGCATATGTAATATTAACAATTAAACTGTCCGTCACGATTTGTATTTGTTTTAGACTTTTTTTTGCATAATAATCAAATCGTGTTGCACAAAGAAATATGATGATTATTAAGATAAGTCTAATGTGAAAGACGTGATTTTACAAAGGTAAATAAATGATGACATTTTGCAGCAGCACAATAAAAAGAACTTAACACGAAGAGAGAACAGCAATAATTTGGTGAAGTGCCTCGATTTTTCAACTGGGCTCATTATTCTTTCTCGCGATTTCTTTCCTTTTTTTTTCAGTGCTCCTTCTGGTATTCCGGTTACTTGATAAATAGTTCCCGACAGTTTGACCTTTCAAAGACGAATCTAGAAGGAAAGACAAATCGGTTTCATTCCCAAGTGATCCCGTGTAACAAATATTACATTGTTCGATGACTGATCTCTATCAACAGTTTTTTTTGCAATTCTTCGTGCTTATATAGAAAATGGAAAGCCGCATCACGCTATATTAACTGCCTCGAATCCTCTCTCTGTCAATAAACGGTGCGTTCGCGTTGTTCAAACATCGAGCGAAATGATAATCTCGCGTCGTAAAAAATTTGCAGACTTTATGCGCGGCAATAATACTCGTTTCATTCGCTTCGTATATATACATACGACAACGCATTACCCTGTGACTGCATCACACTATACGAAACTGTGTAAAGCGTGTTACGTTTCACGGAGCTTACATGGTGGAACGTAAAGTAAATATCCGAGACTTGAATAGTTTGAGCGTAAGCGAGCCATGTTGAGTAACTATGGTATGTATCTGCAATACTATCACGATGAAAGGCCAAAGCTCCGAAAAGCTGTCTCCTGATTGCGCGTAACCGTGCCCAGCGCCAAGATTGGTCCATTAATCTTACCCCACGGACGCACGCGATATCACACACCGTGATGAGGAGAGACCGCGTCCTAAATAAATGCGGCCGCTCGAAATCGTGCCGGCGCCATGGCGCAGAAAATGCAGTTGCGCAATTACGTAGTGGTGTGGCTGTAGCAGCTGAGTGAGAGAGAAGAGGGAAAAAGAGCAACGCACAATGGCTCCAAACTGCACAATGAAACCTTCTTTAGCAACATACTGTTAGCCAAAGCTTGAATAAAACAGCAATCGCGGTCAATGGAAGTTGGTTATTTAAGTTTGCGATAAAAAAATCAGAAAATGTGAGGAAATTACGAAAATATTTCGCAAAAATATCGTACAATTGAAATAAATTGTTACTGTGATTAATTGTGCTACGATTTTTGTTTTGTTTTAGGAATTAATATCTAGTCAGAAAAGTTTTCATGCAAAATATATTATAAAGATATTTGAAATGTATACGTATATATACATATATATGTTGCACACATATATGGTAAAAATATAAAAGCAAATGACGTTTTAATAAAAGATATATAAATTAGATGCAAACACATTTTCATTTGCTTTGTAACTCTAATGAATGTTTTCTCATGTTACACGTTTATTTTAAAAAAATGCATGTGCATTTATTGTGAAAAATATGTCACGGAAACTACCATAAATTATTTTTACGTGAAATTAACTTTAAATAAGAATGAAACATGTTCGATAGTTTTACGTTTGTTATTAATTTATTGTTGACTCAAAGCAATTGCTCCCGAGACTCGTAATTATCTGAAATTTTCACTTGCGTGCAAGACACAAAACATGCGTTTATATATTGGCTTTTACAAATTCACATTTCCCTCGTGTAATCTACTACTCTCATGCTTATAATGCAAGTAATTTTACCCTCTGTCATCTGCGAATGTAATTATCCTCAAGTTGCTCCGTGGCTCGCATTTATGAGACGCACGAAGTTATATAACTATTGGGGAAGCGCCGTCACTGAACATCGTTAAACTCGCGACAAACGGTTGTCATAATCTCCAAGTTTAGATAGTTTCGTCACCTCGAATTCGTCGGAAAATATCAACGCGCTATCACACATTGCCATGCACAAAACTCGTAATGATTCGTACTGAATCGATCTGCATCGTAAATATACAATACGACAGTTTTATATTTTATTCATTTAGCAATCACCATTTAGCAGTATTGTCTGTAAACTATATTTCATCTTTTAAATATACAATATACAATTTGTCTATATTTTTTATAAATAAATTTATAAATTCAGATAACTTAAAGACAAATATGAAATCATTTTTGAAAGAAACACACAGTTTTGCATTCATTAGATTATCATCATTTCTACTAATGATCAAAGACAAAAATCTGCAATTAGAGAAACAGAATAATAACAAATATTTTTCTATCTCTTCCTGAATTAAACGCTTTTAAAACATTTTTGATTCGACAGAGAAAGCTTTGTCTTTTACTTTCAATTAGAGAAAAATAATTATATATAAAATTACTATCGACATATTTATTAACACAATGATAAATATATATTATACATCTAGATGAAGAATAATCAAATATATCTGTTATATGTTTAAAACTTCGTTCTAACTTAACCATAGGTTATCTATTGTGGAAAAATTTTTACATATTCATTGTTATGCTGAATGGATTTAATGTAGAAAGTGAGAGAAAATGTTTCGAGTTATCTTTTAACTATAGTAAAATAAAAATGTCACATGTATTTTAAATAATGCGTTGGAATTTTATACTGGTCAGAATTCGGTTCGATTGTTTTATTATAATTATATTTGTTTCCTTATCACTAAAACAACATATTTCTGTTAATAAATATTAGTAATTATAATATAATAAATCTTTAAAATTATATCATTAAACTTTTTACTTTACTATTTTTAGATGTATAATTTCTTTCCAAACAATAATATATTAACGGATACTTTTCTCCTCTCTCCCTTTCAGAGTATGATAAGGAAATAAATGTCTCATATAAGTCGTGCTTTCAAAGTGACGCGCGTCACTTGTGAACGGCATAAACGATGCTCCTGGTGGTGTTCATCCTGTGTCACTTGTCACTTCGATGCACCATCTCGCATGTAAATCTACTGGTATTGTTTTACAAAGTGACAGATTTGTGAACAAAATATGGTTAATAAGTGCTGATTTATCTTGTCAGCGTGGCAGCTTACTGTAGAATGATTATTACGAATTGCTCAACTGTCAATTTTATTTTTAACTAATCTATACAGAAAACTTATGAACGTTTTAAATCTTATTTTCAGGTTTAAAATACATTTTACGCTCGAATTGTGTATATATATAGATATATGTATGTGTATGTATATATATATATATATTATATATACACACACAATTCGAGCGTAAAATTTATTTTAATCCTGAAAATAAGATTTAAAACGTTCATAAGTTTTCTGTATAGATTAGTTAAAAAAAAAAATATATATATATATATATATATATATATATATACATATATCTATATATATACACAATTCGAGCGTAAAATTTATTTTAATCTTGAAAATAAGATTTAGAACGTTCATAAGTTTTCTGTATAGATTAGTTAAAAATAAAATTGACAGTCGAGCAATTCGTAACAATCATTCTACAGTAAGCTGCCACGCTGACAAGATAAATCGGCACTTATTACCCATATTTCGCACTGTTAAAAAGAAATATATATATTTCTTTTTGACAGTACATTTGTATAACGAAATATATAATTGATTTTTAATTTTATGATATATCGATTATATGAAATTTTTGTTATAAAATATATAGAACAGATTCAATTATTTTTCAATTTTGCAAAAAATTTTTTAGACATCGGCTCAACGCAATATGCTATCATAACAAAATAAGTACCTCAGTTGCCGGAATATTCGTCTCTATTAATCAAGTTTATGAATAATATGAAGGTATTCGAAACTCTACGGGTTTCGATTTAATTGATTTTGATTAAACTGATTCATGGATATTTTTTTTATTTAATCGGATTTTCGATATGTGTTTTTACATTGCTATACGCTCTTTGATACACTCTACGGTTTCTGATCTTGTTTCACGTTGATGTATCATTGTCACAATAAAAACCCCGTGCAAACAACCGAAAGGCATGCAAGAATTAATTAACTTTGAGTAATACCTGAAACAATCTGAATATGCGAATATTTTTCATATAAACTATTGGTAACCGAATATCGACGTCAATACGGAAAAAAAATAATCAATTTGAGCGCAGTAGTTGGTAGACGGAGGGGAATAAAATTCCTTACCAAATTGTTTTATTTAAATTTACGCGGTTGATATGATTGACAGATTTTCGATCTATCTAACATCTGTTGTGTTCTCTTTCATGTTGCAGGGCGAATAGAGAGGAATATACTGGGAGCGTCGAACCACCATCACGGTACGCATAATGCATCATTATCGGACAGTTACAATAACAATGAGGCATAGGTTGATGAGCGCAATCCAGCCGGAAATCACTAGCAAAAGCGGCTAGTCGATCCCGCGGGATGTTACGAGAACACACTCGATGTCGAAAATCGTACTAGCTCTGCGCATTGCGCGAGTGTCAACTGGGACCGGAACATTATCGTCCTTGTTGTGTTTGCGTTAAAGGCTAAAATAAACTACGAAGCACAACGGGCGCGCAGCTTTCGCTGTTACGTTAACGACATCGCATGTGTATGCACGTGTTGTGTGTACATATATATATATATATATATCGTACATGTACGTGAGATCGCGGGCACCTCATGAAATGGTCCGTTTCGCGCCTCGGCGTATCCACTTGCTTGTAAAATAACTTTTCCCACCCTCTGCCGCAATTCGATTCTTATCCGTAGAACGCCGACATCTCGAGCTCTTTTCGATATTACATCGGGACGATAAAGCCCGCTGCGGGCTTATCGCCGTATCGGACGCAGATTGTTTTTATATGTGTATAATCTTTATCGAAAATAACTTCCCTTCTCTCTACTCTCTCGTATTGTGCCGTCGCCTAGCAATGGATTTTCACACTTGCACGACTTTTTCACGTCGCGTATCGATATATGTTTACGAGAAAAGGATAAGCCGACAACGCGCATGCTTTATATTAAATCGTATTATCACATAATGCGAATAACAAGCGTATTACTCGGCGGATAGCGCACATCAAACAATGAGGAAGTAAAAATGGAATGTAATCGTTCATTATTTTATGAGCAAATTCGTGATTGTATACGTTTAATAAGCAACACGTATATGCATAATTTCAGTGCAAGGCAATAGTTTAATAAGTAGGAGATTATATATTTTCCGTATTATTTTTTGCTCAGAATAACATAGAAAGAGAGTTTATTGTTATTTGTATTATAATTTATATGCAATTTAAAAATGCAATGTAAACATATTAATTGATTTTAATCATTTTTATGCTGCATTTTCTTAGTTATCAGCCATTATCATTCATTTGCAATTTAAATATTGATAAAAATGATTCATGAATAATAAAACTACAAAATGTAGTTATAAAAGTCATGCTCATATTTTTTATAATTTATATATTATAAAAATAGAACAGTACATGTGCTTTTGTTTTAAATATATAATTTGAATATCAAATTTTTGAAAGAGCCAACAATATCCGTATATAAAAAATGTCAAATATTTAAAAACTCTATTCATCACTTCTAATATGATTTTTTAATATCGCAGCTGCAAGCGTGTTACATTTTTGTATATTTTACACCGATGCCCCATATTTAGGTACCTATACATATAGTATATACCGGAGCGTATCGACAAGCTCGAAATTTCAATGTAGTCCCATGATTAACAGCAACACAAAATCCCAGTAGGGTTCCGCGAATCAAAAGGAAGCGTCTCGGCTTATATAGGTTAATAACCATTTGCATATGTCTTATGGGTCGATATCAGACGAGCACGCCCGGTTCGAACGCACAGAGAGTCGTCGAATCCCGACGTCAGATAAAAATATATCCCAGCCGCGTCACAAAAGCCGGATGAAATCTCCGCCGTCTCCGTCCATCTACCCTCTCTCTCTCTCTCTCTCCCTCTTTCTGGCCCACCCCATATCGCCCGCGCTATCACTACTATCTACCGGTTCTCCGCATCCTCGTCTTTCTCGTCGGAGGATTTTCAGTGTTCGTCTTTTTGTTCGCAAAAATCCGCGACGAAAATTTCCGCGCCGAGAGAGAAAATTTCGGTATGCAATGCTTCTCTAAGTGGCCCTTCCTCCCAGGTTTCTCCTCTCTCGCATCCCCTACTCTATATTTGCCCGTTTTCGCGTCCGATCGATATCGCCGACACCCGTGATTCCGGGATGCCTCGCCGGCTTCGGGACAGAAGGTATACCGGCATCGTCGATGGTCTTCGATGGAACACGCGCGAATCATTCGTCACACAATGGTGTTACGCCGCCCGACTTGACTCACCCTGCAACTCCTTCCTTGTGCTCCTAGAGAGGAGTCTATCGCGTTACGCCCGCGTTCGATGTTTCCTTCCTTCCTTCCTTCCTTCCTTCCTTCCTTCCTTCGTCCGATTTCCCACTCCAGCTGTTTCCCCGACGAAGAGAAATCTCCCGGATCCCTCGACCCTCCTGTGCGTTGAGGCTAATCGGTAACATGGGCACTCGGGAAATCTTACGATCTGACCAATTCCTCGAGAAAAGGAGCGACAACCCTTACACTTCGCTCCAAGTCGACTTCTCTTCGCGATATTTCGCCCCACGTTAGATTTCTCGCGAGAGCTTTAATATAAATGTTCGCTCCGTTGTACATAATTATTGTCGCAATTGATAGAAATAACGGTGCATGGTATGCTGGTGTTGCATGTATGCTGGATCTGTAGGTCTGTAAATTATTTGTTAGCCGAAATCGATGTACAGGATATTTTATTTCAAGATGTTTGACGATAACGAGAATTTTGAGGTAAAAAATCATATAAAGCATATTCCGTGTCAAGTAACTGTACATTATTTATTAATTGCTTTGAAATATTGTGTGAAGTAGTGACGTTACAAGATATTATTGTATGTACCTATAGTTACTTGTCAAAAATTCAATGTTTTATATAATATTTCGACATTTATTTATTTTTTCGTTGCAACTGAGATCACAATTGATTATCAGAATTTAATAAATAATATTTTGACATATCTAGCGTATAATAATGAGGACAGGGACTGAAATAACTTCGTGTAGTTGCCGTTATCGAATTTCAAGCGAGGTGAAGCGAATTCACTTTACAGCGCGCGACCCAAAAAAGTTTTAATCATATCGCATTAATAACGTAAACTAATCGGATACCAACTAGACTGTTAATTAACCGTCACGACTGTAGAACGGATGATGAATAATTTAATGCTTACGGTTCGTTTGCACCCTAATCAACCGAGTCGCTTGCGTTAAGCGGGCAATGTGGGAAGTTGGGGGTTGTTTAGATAAACCAAGGAGATGGCATTATTTGTAGAGAGTTTACTCGTCGTGAGACAATCAAATTCGTAATTAGACCTCGCACTCTGAATAAGAGCTGAATAAGATCCGGTTGTAATTTGTGGGAATGAACCGCAATTGTCATTTCGCCGATATTCGAATGACGATGCAAATCAGACAATAAACAAAATTAACAGATGCGATTCCTAAACACCGCTACTGTGACAAATTATATATATATATATATATATATATATATATTGTGAAAATTAATTAAATAATTAAAATTGCGATGCCTGTTTCTAATTAAAATTGTACATCTGTTAATGATCTTTAAAATTAATGAATATGAAATCGTACCGCAATGATACGGGTTGAAAATATAAAAATCCCAATTTAACGCTAAATTTATTTCGATCGTGCAACGATAATTTACACTGTATCGTTACACGAAGAAAAAAATATGACGTAGAAAATGTGAAGAATATTTCAAAAATTGCGCGAATCGAACGTTCCATATTGCAAGTAATATTTGTCCTCGTTAAGCGACAAAATCAAAGGCGATAAGGGAATAAGGGACGGAGTTAGGCCGAATAAGAAGATCGTGCTTGAATCTTAAACTAACCAGCACGACCACCAGCGCGGCACATTTCGGAGACGAAGTGCTCAGGCGCGGGCATGAATATGAATGAGTCCGTGCGGGGGTGATATTTCGAAGTGCGAAATAAAATAATTTCCTTCTCGTCGCGTAGCTCGCGGCTTCGCGTTTGCCACGGAATATGCACGAGGCACATTTTGGTAGAAAGAGAGAGAGAGAGAGAGAGAGATACGCGTTTGAGAGAGGCGAGAGAAGCGTCGGGAATAAAATACGACGAGTCAACGAACGTAAGAGAGACGCGTGAGATCCAGGAATGAAGTTCTCGTTTCTTTATCGTCGTGGCAAACGGTGTCTCCGCCGTTTCCACAGTGTATATTCTGCCTGTCGAAATTTCTGACAGCGGTCTGAAAATGAGAAAGAAATAGAGGGAGGAAAAAGGGCGAGAAAATAAAGAGAAAGAGAGAAGAATCTGAGAAAAGGAGCAAGTGGCGAATAGTTGGTAAACGTTAAGTAACCGACGTTGTATCGACCTGGCAAGTGTGTGCGTATCGGATTTCGACGACGAGGATGATGGCGGTGGTGGTAACTCCGAGGCATACAATTTAACAGAATATTACATTTAAACGGAACTTATTTACCCAGCCAACTGTGTTACTCCTATGCGTTCTGGAAGGCACTCTGCTCTGCCTTCGTCTCTTTTCTCTTATACCTTTACTACCTATCTTACTGTGGTACCAGACGACACTTCCTGCGGCTATTATCCAACGCGTTTTCTCTCTCTCTCTCTCTCTCTCTCTTCTCCATAGTTATTCTACCCCTGCAAATCGCTACCAGATGGAGAAAATTGAATTAGTCACGGCCACACTTATAATTATAGCTCGACCGCTCACCTTCTCACCCTTCTCGGTGCGCCACGGTCCTCGCTTTTACCACTTCCGTCCGACTTACCGTACCGTGCACGTACGGGGAAAGACCGCCGGTAATAGCAGTAATTTTTCCTACGTTAATTTCATGCAAAACTTTCCAGCTTCGGTCGTCGTCGTCGTCGCCGTCCAGCCTCGATTGGCCCCGCGGTCGTTTTCTCCTTCTCCAGCCGAGCGCAAAGTGAATCCGCCATCGTGCGCGCAAACCCCAACCCGAGAGAATCGGGGTAGGAATATTAGAAATATTAGCCGAGTATTTTTTGCCGCAGTCCACCCCTTCCGCGATACCGTCACCGAGGGGTGGCTTATACACACGCGCACACATACACGTATAATATATATATTACGTCACGCGACACCCTCAGCGGTTTCTAGCCTTGCCTCTGGAGTGCTTTTAAAAATAATGAAGATCACTTTCTCCGCCCTGTTATTTTCTTTTTATCCA